GGGGGGGGGGGACAAAGACGTCACTATGGATCCAACAAATTGTGCTGGACAGACATTAATAGCAGCCCTACATTTACAATATCAGTGCTACTTGTGAAACGCACTAATCCTACTTTTCTTTCCCATTGTAACGTGAACGCGGCATTAGCTTACACATTTCCTAGCAAAACAAAACGTTATGGCAAAAAAAAAAAAAAAAAAACACCACATACACAGGTGCAGTTAAGGCCAATTCAGATGGAGTGTGTTTTTCACACAACAGATAGAATTCCATCTATCAAATGTGTTTCCATGTGCCTCACATCAGCCCTGGACCCCCACAGGAAACACTGGTGTCATACTAGAATATCAGTCTAATCTAGACAAGGACAAAATTTTATGTATGTACTTACATACAGCATAATTACTTTTGGAAGGGACAATCCAGCATTTAATAATTAAATGATTAATAAGTACTTGCAGGACTGTTAGAAGAGTGTCTGACATTTAACTGTCACAAGAAAAACAAAAGAGAACTTGAGAGGCAGGAGACTTGAATGAGAAAGAAATTTAGCATTTGTAACAGCACAATTCACTTGCTTATATTCATGACTTTCTACACACTGTCTCCTCTTTTTCAGCCATAAACTATGATTTTGTCTGGAAAGTTGGCCAGAAATACTTTGTGTCCTACAAGGAGAGAGACTCTTTCTCCAGGGCCACCGAGTTTTGCTCCCAGCACGGCTTAGAGCTGGCTTTGCCCCAGAACGAGGAGGAGAACAATGTACTAACTCAAGTGTGTGGGGACGTTTACAAAAATATCTGGATCAATGTCAACAATAAAAAAGCTGAGGGGAATTTCGAGGTGGATATGAAAAAACAAACAACATCCTGACTCAAGTGTTTAAGAACCTTTATCAATGGATCAATGTCAGCAATAAAAAAGCAGAGGGGAATTTTGAGGTGGATATGAAAAACCGACCTCTGACCTTTACCAAATGGGCAGAAGGTCAACCAGACAGATCCATCCAGGATACAGGCTGCACCATGCTGTCAGAAAACGGCGTCTGGCACGTCACACAGGAATGCTTCCTGAATGCTTACATCATTTGTCAGATATAGAAACATGCATCCCATCCAAATCTTTCTATAATGCAAACATTTCCAAACATTTTCTTCAAGTCTGAAGTTCTGTTTCACTTTTTCTATAGGCTTACGTGAATTAACTGTGGATAAAAAAAGGCTGAAAAAAAAGGTGCATTATTTCATGTTAATGTCTAGTAAATTTAAGACTATTAAATATAAACTCATCCTTATTTTAGCAGTAATGTGTCTGTGTTTTGGAACCTTTGCCCTTGTAATAGGTATAATATTTAGTTTCCCACCACTACCCTTGTGATATATAATATCTCCTTAAGAAGTATAATGGCATCATCTGTATAAAAAAAAGAATGTAAGCAGAGACACGACTATATAAAGCATTAACCACTTCTCAAACTGATGTTTTTAAAGCATATGGCACAATAAAGCATAAGGCAGTCCTGCAGTCTTCTTTCATTTCTTATATATGTTAAGGTCTTTTTAAATTAGCCTCTTTGATATCTATTTTGGAAAACAGAAATAGTAAGTTTCAACTGAAAACCTAGGTCTTATCAATAAAGAAGAAAAGGAAACTATTACAACAGCACACAGCTGACAAAGTATTTGATTGATTAATTTGATTACGTACGGTAACCAAAGCTTCTGATTATAGGCGTAGCCCTCTAAGAGCTGTCGCTATTGGGTTTATCCCTCGCGCATGCGCATGGCCTCTAAGAGGGCGAAGCCTATACGAAACAGAATGTGCATCTCACTCCAGAGACAGCATTTCCATTAAGCAGCCACACAGAACCGGCAGGACGTTAACTAACCTGAGACAAAATAATGTTGTACAGTTTTTCCATTGATATAGTTCATTTCAAATTGTGGCGGCCCTGACCAGCCGCTTATGTTTATGTTCTGTTCTGTGTTAAATGGGTGCAGCCGTAATGTCCGGATAATGGACTTGCTGGTTACCGCTGTTTTCTGTGAAATGCCGCGCTGTTCTGGCTAATGTGGGATGGGGGGAGGAACAGGTGCGGGAGGGTATAAGAGGGATGACAGGTGGGCGTGCTGTGTTGGTTCTGTTGGCGGGCGATGGTGAAGTTCGGGAAGAGACCTGTAATGTTCTGTTTTGTTACTTTTTCCAGTGAGCACACAGTGCTGCGTTTTGCAGCCCTTTTCTTTCCTGGTTTTGTATGCCTGAATAAAGCCAAGAAAAGACGGAGAGGTGTTCTCCTCCTTGTCAGTCTAGGTGCCAGCACACAGCTGGATAGTTAGATGTCCCAGTATAGGATAGGGTCAGACCAGCTCCACTCATCCGAACCAGTGGAGCGCCACAATATATCCATTCATCAGCTTGTAGCCAGTTGGTCGAGAGGGCTGGAACCTAAACAGATACTTAAATTTAGATTAGCATAACTCACCAGTTGGCACTCCCAGTCTTTATCAGCTGGTTTAATACACAGGTGAAATATCTCCAGGTTCCTTTCCGAGCTCAAACTAAGTTTTGTGGTATACCGTTAACGTTCCGAATTGTTTTTGATGGAAACGTCTTTCACGTCTTAGGCTCTGCAACAAACTAGGCAGCGTCCACGAATGAATATCATTACAAAAAGCCAAGCTACTGCACGTAGTACACTTGTTCGGTCCATGTTGGAACGTTACGTGCTTGATTGTAACCTGTAACACTTGTCGTTAGCTTGCGGTAGGACTTACATTACCTAAATTAGATAACGGAAATCAAAGTTAATTTTAGCTAATGTTACACATAAGCACTCCTTCTATAAAATGTATCTGGGTAACCTCAGAGAAATACAGCCTAGATAACCTTTAAGTAGATGTGTGATGGGTTAAATCTACAGCAGAGTGGCGCAGCGGAAGCGTGCTGGGCCCATAACCCAGAGGTCGATGGATCGAAACCATCCTCTGCTAGGCTTTTTTTTTTCGCATTTTGTGTAACATTAATACGAGTGTAACTATACTATCTGTACATATGACCTATACATACAACATATACCTTCATTAAGGTAAAATTGTGTGCATGACTATTGGCAACTGAGTGTGTATTGTGTTTAACATAACATTAATGATGCACATCAGCCATAGGATCACTGATGGTGAATGTGCTGTCAGCCAAAATGTAAAAATTTTGTATACTGCCAGCAGAGGGCAATGTTGTCCCAAATTTCAAAGTTTGAATGTCCCAAATACAAAGTACCAATGCTCATTGTAAATTTTAGATGATTGTTTAGTTATTTGCTTATGTTTTAAAACATTTTATATGTATTTTTAAAAAACTCTCCCACACCTATGAGAGCCATCCCATTATGCCGCATCAAATCCCATGATGAATTATAAAGAACACAACAAATATTCACATCATGCCCAGGTCACTGACTGGGGAAATGTGTAATAATAATGTCTATTGTCCTCTCTCACAAGGCACTAAACACAACTTTTCTGCATTGGGCATTAACAGCAACCCATGGTTGTACTTGGAAACTCCAATCTGTGTGAATGTCAAGTACTTAAAATACAATAATGAACCAATCCTGCTCTGTAAAAGAAAACTTTTTAGCAAAATAACTGGTTTGTAAACTTGATGCTTTCAAACATTTGTCATCTCTACTGCATAGTCAATATTTCATTTATTTTTTACTACACAACTTCAACATTCCAAATCCAAAGATATTGTAATCTAAAACATGTTCAAGCTGGATCATTTCTCACCAGAATTTTCATTTTAGATCTTGTAACTGTGGACATCTACACTTAATGGAGTTGTAATATATTTCATGAATGTGTGACCTTCTTGCACCCACACAGTTCCCTTCAAGACCACATGACAAATTCTTTCCTCAAGGCGGCTGACACTTAGGATGAACTCCTCATCATCATCTTCAGGCTTTTAAACAGCACATCCCTGCCTCCACTGTCCTTCGCAACCTGTGACTTTGTGCTGCTCACATGACTTTATTTGCTCGCTCCTTTTCTGTCTTCTCTTCCATAGAGATTTTTGTCTGTCTGTCTGTCTGTCTGTAGCTCTATTTCAGACTCTCTTAGGCCTGACCACATAATGATAGACCTACAGTCTATTAAAGGACCCTGCCCACAAGTCATCTCCCTCTCACCTCCCTCTTCATGGGCCTTTATAAGCCTCTCACACAGGAGAGGGCAGGGGGGCACTATCCACAGCAGGACCCTGTACAAGCATTTGGAAGGCTAGCTAGTTCACAAAGCCAGCTGTTCACCCAAGGCCAGGGATACTTGACTAATAGTAGCCATGGACAACCATTCATACAACTTCCCGTCTGACTGCACCCCACACACCAACTGCAAGTCTGCACGTAAGCCAGCTGATTCCACCGTGGTGAACATGGGCAACACTGGCAAGAGTGCTCCTCGGGACTATCTAATCTGGTCGCTGTGCAACACCTTGTACGTTAACTTCTGCTGCCTGGGTTTCATGGCTCTCATCTACTCCATCAAGGTGAGCGTGATGTGTTCTGTTTTTCTTTTGTGCTAGCCTTTATTTGTAAATTCGGGCAATTTTCAACAACATCAGGAAACCTAGGAGATTAACTGATGTGTCAAAGGGAAGAAGTCAAGAAGTGACTGCACTGATTGTTTGACATAAGATGTCCAAGCAGTGATGGGAGGATGATCACAGCTGAGGTGATTCACAGAAGGATCCAAATAGCACAAGGACCTAACCCTCTGGTTAATAAAACAGTTTATTAGCTGATGTCCTAACTATTTTTGTTTTTTATCCCACCAAAAATAGAAAAAATGGAGCTTACTTTGTGAGAGACAAACAATTTTGTTAATTATTTAACAGTAAGCAATATAATATTAGATTGTAATAGTGTGAGTCTGGTGCAGTCTATGATGCAACAATGAATCACGTTTACAAGGAAATTTTTAAAACAGTGGAAATATTGTGGCAGATGCCACATTGGGAAATAAAACGTAGCCAGTCAAGAACAATTTGCCATGGCTGAATTTAAAGTGCCAGACTAAAAGACTAAATGCTCTGCTAGGAAAAGTTCTGTTTAGGGGAAAAGCAATATATTTTAGATGTTGTAGAGACCTGTTATTGTCTTCTTCTGGTTAGATGCTTGTTGTGGACCACCACAATGCTAAACTGCATTTCATTGCCTTGTACTTGTACTACATGGGTAATGACAATAAAGTTAAATCTAATCTAATCTATTGTCCCTGGTCAGATGGGTCACACAGTAGAAAGTTGGTGTTACCACAGGAATGGGGCTGTCCAGAAGCAGAAGTGTAAACCTAAACGAAATTTTTCGCACTATAACACGACCAAAGATCTTTGAAAACGCCTTGTGCAAAGCAGAACAGGACAAACTCTAAGACTACCTGGCTTAAATGGTTTCTGAAAAGCTCACCACAAAGGGTGCACATACCCTTTATTTAAGTCTTTTTTTTCTGTCTGCATAGGGAGTAGCTCTAAAACACAGACCGTGTATTGACTTAGCACTCAAATTAAAGGCCGGGACCGGCTGCTTGTCTGTGGAGTTAAAAATGGCATAAATGGCATCTTCCTAATGGGCAAGTACTCATGGGAAATTAGAGAGTGCTAGAAAGAGACACTTCATATCATTCTGGCCTTGAATAACTTCAAATCTGCACTCTGTGTGAAAAAATTGGAAGCTGTGGGACAAGCTGTGATGAACTGACAGTAAACATGACAGAATGCCTTTGTTTGCCCTCCTAACTGTTTACAGTATCCATGGGTGTAAACACTTAATCACTTTTGCTCTTTATGTCTGAAAATGCTTAGCTGAGCCACAAGTGCAGACAAATGCCTTTATTTTGAAACTCATCTTTCCTGTATCAGTTAAAACAAATTCTGTGGATGCAAATAATAATGTGTGTATGTGTCTGTGTGTGTGTAGGCCAGGGACCAGAAGACTCAGGGCAACCTGCAGCTAGCTCAGGAGTGTTCAGACAAGGCCAAGTGGTACAACATCCTGGCAGCTGGCTGGAACCTGCTTATTCCACTTCTGGCCATCGTCCTGCTTGTCCTCCTGCTGGTCCACCTGGGCTCGTCCAAGGGCTCCTATGACTTCTTCGGAGAGGATGGCTTCCAAAACTTCATGAGACTGTTCAGCTGGTAGATGGGGCAAAAAGAGAGACAGAATAATAATAATAATAATAATAATAATAATAAAAAAACAAACAGATCAGTCTCAACTCAGCTGCCAGGAGAGATTTTATTCAACCAATGAGGGTTTACTGTATAGCTCCTAAGATTTTTAGCCAGTATAAGTAATAAATATCTTACGGTTCCTTTTCTACATGGAAGTCAGGACCCATACCGGACATCCTGAAAGCTGGACAGCATTAAAATAATCCTAATTGGTGAGAAGGAAAAGTAAGTCTTGTCTTAGTAAGCTTGGATTGTCCTCTTAGGAATGCAATATAAATGCTTGAATCAAATATTAGGCCAGTACAAGACTAATATTTGACCAGTGTCTGAGAGTCACAGATTAAGTAAAGGAAATACAGCAGATCATTATGCATGGTCTGACATTTCTCAGAATTCATACAGTGGTAAAAAAAAAAAAAAAAAAAAGCATATTGAATCCTTAATGTGATGCCAGTATTAGAAGATGTTTACACCTGCCAGTCTCCTAGAAATGGTCAGTTGCAGTGTGAAGTTGATCAAAGACTGAAGAAGCCTAAAATAGAAAACAGGGGAATGACTGGAGTTAAAAAAGGCCAGCAGGTTGAGAAATGAGCAAGCAGCTATCTGTGGGTCATTTTTGTTGTTATTTATTGTATTTATGTTGAATGGAAACTTGGATGGCAGCTGAAGTTACCCCTAGTCAGCATAGAAAGAGACGAGAGAACAAAGGACGGTGGAGCCAAAGTAGGAGCGATGCAAAGAGAAGCCACTTTAGAAAGGACAAGCAACATTCACCTCCCACTGATAGTCATTTATTTTTTTGTCTTTTGTCACTCTTTAAAATGTTATTACTGTTGAGCATACATCTATTTTTTTGTCAATATTCATGTATTTTTATTAGTATTTTAAGTATTTTGATTTTACATCATCTTACTGCCATGGTCTTAAATAAAACACATACTGTTAATTCAGTATTTCATTGAAAAACAAATCAAAGCCTTAATTTTTTCCTTCACATAAAGCTTTTACATAACTTTACAAAACTCTGCTAACAGTTACCTGGTCTTTTTGGGATCGCCTCTCAGCTAATGAACACAGGGGACCAAGTGATGTTGATTCACATGGCTCTTGTGGTTCCACTGCTGCACCTACACCCAACTTTAAAGTGATCATTTTGGGCTTCATAGCTTTGATTCTGGGGTGAGGGAATAGACAAGGCGTGGCTGTTTTCATCCCAGCTGTGAGCCTGTTGCTGTACTAACTATAACCAGAATACCCTTTTTTTAGGAAACTGTATAAATGTGCAGGACCGCCCAGGCAGAGTCAGTAGCAATGTAAAGGCCTGCAGCGGGACAAGATGGCTCATTTCCACTCAATCTGCTCTCACTCTGAGGTTGTGGGGAATACTTGTCATTTTACATTGACTTTTTGTTGATGGATATTTTTTCTAAATATGCTAAACACCTGCCACACTACATGGGCTACATGGTCCTGCCTTTAGGCTCATCATCATAGATGAATGTCATGCTGCAAATAATAATTCATTACAATGCAGTTAAGGTAATGTTTCACCTAAACACTATATGGCAGGAAGTGACTGCACTGCAAAAGCAGTTCTGCAATGGACAGAACTGCTTTTGTTTTTCTTTAATTTGAGGAGTTAGGGTTAAGAAACATTTCACAATCTAATCTGGATATCATACAGAAAATTCCTAAGAGGCTTGGTTTGTCCTCCTGCTTCTCGTGAGTGTCCCACTCCTCCTGGCCTCCCATCCTCTGGCCTCACAACATATTAGCAGCCTCTCTTTGCTTCTAACTTTATTTATATGCACCCAAATCACAGCCTCTAGCTTCCAGCTTTCTATTTTTTCTCCTGTGGTCAATGAGAAATGCTTACAGATGTCAGAGCTGTGGGGAATTACAGGCTAGGAGCCAGCAGTGCAGACAGAGGGCGTATTAACAACAGAGGGCTAGAGAAGCGAGAAGGACACATATAAAACCTTTGTACTAGTTAACAAACATCTAACTTTAACGTTAGCCCTCTTCACAACATTAACTGAGAAGCTTCTCACTCACTCAGCAGCTGGTAAAAGTCAAACTAAGCACTATGCAATACTCATAATAAAATAAATAATCCCAATCCACATTTCAGGGATTTGAATGTGCTTGAGTCTGGACTGACTTCTAGCAGAAATTCCATTTTCTAATCTTAATCTAACGTAATTCTTATTTCTAAATAATCACTGAATTTAATCTCATACCCACTCTTGAACCTGAAATTGTGTCTTGGTAAAATGCTCTCACATATCCTTTTTTAAAAACATGTTCCAGAATTGGTGGTGAACAGTCACATAGGCAGCAAATCGACACAAGAAGATATCAATTGCACAACTAAACTGTGTCTGTGTGGGAATTATTTTAGAAAGGTCTTCTGGAAATAAGCAAATATTATGAGGTATTATATTATTATAGTAATTATAAAATTCTCACTCCCTCAAAAAATATTTGTGTAAATATTTTTAACAGTGAAGATCAGGTTATATTTGTTGTTATCTGTTATAATGGCAACAAGCCATCTGTCATCACAGGTGGAATGAATAGTAAAGGTCAAAAACTGTCAAATTCTAAAAGCAGTTACAAAACATACAAATCATTTTCAGTTTGACTCCTAAAAAACTAAATTCTGAAGAGTTTTTGTTTTTCACATTGAATGAAATTTCCAGATTTGATAAATAAATGATACACACTTAAAGATTTCAGGAAATAAATTAGAAAATGAGGAAAGGAAAGTAAAATTGCTAACAACAAACAACAAGAAAACCACACACAAAAGGATGGGAGTGGTGTCCTTTATCCCTGTGACTGTTTCGGTGATCATTTTGTCAAGAGGTATTATCTTTTGGTATAATATGTATAGTAGCCTAATAAAAGCCAACAGCATTAGTAACCACAACATGTCCTCGCCAAAGGTAGACGACCTGTCATGTCAAACACTGAAGCAAATATAAAGTTTACATAAGGCCCGGAGCCCCTCGATGCCAGAGAAGGTCTGTGTGACAGCTTCTCCTCCATCACAGAGAAACAGGCAGACAGGACACCTGGAAGTCGTTGGAGTCATCGTTGATCATCGATAACTGCAGGTCCTCAGAACCACAGCAGAGAGAAACACACCATCCAGCTGTGGGAACATCAAGTACAGTCAACATGAGCAGGTGAGGACCAGTGTTGTTTTCAGCTACAAGATGATAGAGTTAGTTAATGTATGACAGTCTACTGACAAACCCTTTCTTTATAATATAAATAAGGCTACAACACTGAGGTTCTTTTAGGCCTATTTTGCTTTGTCATTTCCATATTAATGGAAACTCAACCATTGCTCAGGCAAAAGTAATTACATTTCTCTCTAAAATTTTTTCCAATTTTGGTAATGAATGCTACAAGGTGGTGGATGTGTTTCTCCTGTTTCAGCTGAATATAGATCAAAAACCAGTGTGTGGTTTTCAGCAATTAAAGGAAGTAAAGGATCTTGAGAAGTATTAAAAGGGAATAATGTGCATCATCAGACCGCTACTTTGGAGAACTATCTGTTCATCAGAGTTTTTTGCTGCGTGGTTCTAAATGATCTTTGTATCTGACACCTGTGGGAGCTTTTGAAGTGTTTTGGTAGACAGCTCTCTCCACCACCATCACCAAAACACCAAATCAGGGAATATGTTTTGGACAAATGGTGTTCATCCCTCCAGTAGAGTTCAGAGACTTGTAGAGTCAATGCCAAGGTGCATGGTGGCACGTGGTGGCTCAACACTGTACTAAAAGAGTCCTTTCTTCTGTCACCATTCTAGAGCTATGGATAAATACTTGAAAGAAATAACATTTTGGGAAAGTTTATTCCTTTCTTGCTGATGCTCATCTGTAGGGCATCTGTAAGCTGAAACCAGCAGCTGGTTAGCTTAGTTTGACATAAAAACTGGACACAAAGTAAAACTACTAGCCAAGTTTTGAAACTGTAAAAAAACAGACATTGCAAAAACAATACTGACTTTTTTTCTCCCTGAAAAGTTGTATGTTAGAATCTAAGGCAAAATAATCAGTATTATAATTTTGATTTAATTTGTTTTAATGTGCTGTACTTAAACTGTGACCTAGAACCGCAGTCAGTGACACCACTGTGTGTAGTGCGATGCTCTATGCACTAACAATTTTTCCCATCTAATACGTGATGTTCTGTGAGTTCAGCAATGACTTGTAAAGTCAACAAAAAGGTTGCCATTTTGTTTACAGTGGTTATCAGCAGTTTTCTGCTGAGTTTCAATAACATTTTAACTAATACCAGCAGAGCTTTACTGCTGTGACCTATATTATCTACATGGCTGCAGGTTGTGCCACCCCGTTGCAAAGATGGGCTTTGCAAACTTTGAATTACAATGAGACTGTCTATGGTGTCAAACCTGACAAAATGTGGGGCAACAAAGGGTTTACCCACACAGGACTTTGGTTTAGGACATAACTGATCAGCTTTGCAGTTGGCTTTATTTACCTTTGGACCAAAGGTCAGAGTCACTGTTCTGTTCTGTTCCTGACGCCAACATTTGAAGGAGAACCAGAAAACCATCCAAAATACTGGCAAAACTCTAATCTGTTGGCAAACACTGGCAGTGGTAGTATAAGCTATTATACTCATTAATAAAATTTTACCTTTGAATGCACTGCTGAACTCCAGAAACAGAGCAGCGCATGAACTTATTTCCAAACCACACAACATTAATTTGATTATAAGCATCTGTGCTATACTTAAAGAGGTTTCTGATTAAACATTTCCTCTCTGCAGATGTCTGATTAAGCAGGTGGAGGTGCAGAGCTTCATTGAAAGGTGTATGACAGCTGTGGGCACCAAGCCGCACCACGCCCACAGCCTGGCCCTGGTACTGGTGGAAGGCGACCTCAGGGGCCACTACAGCCATGGGCTCAACAGGATGGGTCAGTGATGCACTGGAAATGTGTCACTTTATCTGCATGCTTAATTTAATAGTGTGGTGGTGGTGGTGGTAATACTGTGAGTAGTTCCCCTGATGCTTTCATATGTTTTTTGTTTGTTTTGTATTTTGTCTATTAGGCTCAATCTTATTTCTTTGCTTAGACTATATGCTACCAAACACTGATTTGAAGAAGTGAAACTGATGAAGTATTGTGAAATTTTAGGTGTAAACATGGAAAACTAGATTCTCTGCTTAGCCACTTATATATTTTTGTACATAGCCTTCAACCCATTGACCATTATCTATAGACATGGGTATTCTTTGTGTTTTCTGTTTTTCAACAGACATGTATGTAAAGGACATCCAGACAGGAATCTGTGAAACATCTGGTGAGCCAGTGGTGGAGAAAGAGAGTGCAGCCACGGCACTGGTGGATGGGAAGAACCTCCTGGGTCCTGTGGTGGGAAACTTCTGTATGAATCTAGCTATAAAGAAGGCCAAAGAAGTGGGCACTGGCTGGGTGGTGGCACATGGTGAGCCCCTGAGTCCCCACCCCGCTCCCATTTTTTGGGGGGGTGGAGATTGATGATTAAAGCTTTAGAAGTAAAACTTTGAAAGGCCATGGTCCATTTTGATTGAGCCAAGGTTCATTTGTGGAATAAACAGATTTTTCTTGAAAAAGCCTTGAGATCATAAAGGGATCATTGTTCCTGATTAAATTTTAGTTGAGTGTTTGGCTCATAAATCTGGGAGAGGAGAAACTTTAGAGAAGGCAAAATACAGATTAAAGAGGTTTCTGCAGTAAAATCTCTCACGGCCTAACAGTAAACATAATTTGACAAATTACCTACAAAAATGACCACTGCTTTTAAACCATAAAATCCTAATAGCACTTTTTTCTCAGGCTCCAACCATTTTGGTATTGCTGGATACTACGCAATGCAAGCTCTGAAGGAAAACATGATTGTGAGTGATTGTGTGTGGACAATTAGATGAAAACACTTTAATTTTCCCAATACTCTAACAGCTTTCAGCTGTTTTCCCAGCTGGTTTTACATCTATGTATTTTAATAATTTGACTCCAACAGGGCATTTCATTGACCAACTCGTCCCCACTGGTGGTTCCTACTCGTGGTAAAGACGTATGAATATTAATTATTCTCAATTAATATTCTCAATTAATGCATTTAGTGTTAATAGTTGAATTCAAAGAACAGTAGTAGTAGTATGTATGTAGACATCATAAATGATTATACATCTAAACATCAATCTTACTGGTAAATACGTCTTCCACACTATAACACTGTGACCTTTGTAGTGCACTTTGGGCACCAACCCCCTCAGTGTGGCAGCTCCTGCTCAAGACGGCGACAGCTTTGTTCTGGACATGGCCACATCAGCAGTAGCACTTGGAAAGGTAAGCTGCTGATGACTTGAATACAGAACAGAACGTCTTCATTCATTAACAGTAAACATAATTTGACAAATTAGCTACAAAAATGACCACTGCTTTTAAAGCATAAAATCCTAATAGCACTTTTTTCTCAGGCTCCAACCATTTTGGTATTCAAGAGACATTTCCTGCACCAGTGGAGTTTGACCCAGGCTGTTTTACTTTTAATACTGTTTGTCTGTCTTGTATCTGAAGTTGTTAGGAATGCATTTTCAGTGTAATTAATTAAAAACAAAGCTGGGGGGCTGCAGGTATAGCTTCTCATAATCACATAACTTCTGAATGAATTCATGTAATGACATTGCATTTAGCATTCCTATCAGATGAAAAAGGATGAGACACATCCTATTATTTGAGACAGGGATATGCCCGCAACTGTCCCATCAGCTTTTCTGAAACTAGCTGCAATGGGAGAGGCAAAATCCTCCTGACCGCTGTCCTATAAATTTCAAGTCTTCTTCTCATTTAATGTGTACAGGTGGAGCTCAGTGAACGGCGTGGAGACCCCATCCCTGAGGGTTGGGGCTGTGATGCTCAAGGACAGTTGACAACAGACCCCAAGAGAGTCCTGAGCGGAGGAGGACTGATGCCCATTGGTGGCGGTGAAGCCACAGGTCAGAAAGATGCTTCTTTTCACTGCCTTTCACATTTTCATAGTTCATGATGATTAGTTATTATCAATGTCCCACTTTTGTGGGAGATTTGTATATTATGACAAATTTTTCATTTTACCCTTCATGCCATTAAACAGCTGAAGTTCACTTATGTTATTTCACGGTTGCTTTCAGGAGGCTACAAAGGCTATGGTCTGGGAATGTTGGTGGAGGTGCTCTCTGGTATCTTGGCTGGTGCCCAGTACAGCAAACATATCCGCATGTGGAAACTAACAGACCGTGTTGCCAACCTGGTAGCATTTTTATTTATTTATTTATGTGGGCTTGTGTGATGTTTTAAAAAGAACATACTGACCCCATTAAAAAATTAAAACCTGACCCCAAGGTAGCTTGATACTGTATAAATCACCCCTGTTGCTTTACAGACTCCTGGAAACCATCAGGGTGGTTTTCAAGAAAACTGAATGGTACCTGATAAAATAAAAGCAAATGGTTTGGTAATGTAGATGTGTTTAATAGGATGTGACCAGCAGCCACTTATTGTGTCTAAACCACTGTTGTGGTTTGTGATGGAGCAGCTACCCCAAACAGCTTACTGTTGCCCAGCAGTGGGGTAATTTAATAACGCTGACGATAACGTACTGTTCTTGAGTAATGCACAGGAAAGCTTGGTTTACAATACAGTGGTGATCAGCTGGTTAGAAACAAAGTTGGTGAAAACAGTTCTCACTCAAAAACAGCATAAAAATAAACCATAGGAGCTGATTTCTACTGAGAGTTCAACAAGTTTTAAATGTTGAAACAGTCTTTGACAGCTGACCTTCCTGTTTCCACTGGGCCCATCACCTGTTTTGTTTGTGTTTTCAGGGCCAGTGTTTTGTGGCAGTTAACCCAGAGAACTTTGCCCCCGGGTTCAGTGAGAGGATGTCAGACCTGCTGTCCATCCAGAGAGGGCTGGACCCTGTGAGCAGACCCCACTGATACAATGTTGATATTTACTGCAGACTCATCAGGGGAGACAATATGTAGATGATGTCCAGTGATTGCAATTTCTCAGTCTTGTAATTTGAAAAGAAAATAAGACAAAGCATGTAAGTTAATTGTTTTGAGTTTCATTGTATTGTTGTTCTAACCATTTTTTTTTTGTAGGCTGACCCTGACGCTCCTGTTATGGCGGCTGGAGACCCAGAGAGCATGAACATAAAGAAGTGTGAGGAACTGGGCGGGATCCCCTACCACATCAGTGTGGTCAACTATATGGTAAGAACAGCACAAAAGAAATAAGTGGTCATAGTCTGAATATTTGGAAAAATGTATTTCAAAACAAATGTTCTATACACAAACCAAGTTTTAAAACAGGCGCACAACTTCAATAACAATGATGAGGAAATTACTGTTTGGCCAAGATTTTAAGAGGTTGACTACACTTTGCCAAGAAATTGTATGGTACACAACCTCCTGTAAAACCACAACTTGTCACAAAATCAGTAATTACTGGATTAGTGAGCAGTGACAGAGTGAGCCCAGTTGTCTCCCCTTCTTTCCAGTTCTTATGCTAAACTAAGCTAACTGGCTGCCGGCCGTAGCTTCCTATTCACTGTACAGTTGTGAGAGTGCTTTCAGTCTTGCCCTCTAAATCGGCAAAAAGCAAATAAACATATTTCCTAAAATATCCAGCTATTGTTGTAAAGGAAATTCCTTTGCAATTCATCTGACTTATCTTTTTTGTTTGATTTTTGCAGAATGAATGTGCTAAGACAATTGGTGTCAGCCCTCTGCTGCCGTGTGACAAACTCATCTCCAATTAGTCAGTGCCCTCAAGATTCCCAGCACTGGTAATCTGTCATTTCTGCATGAAGTTCACATTGTGCAACTTGCGAATGGAGCTTTGTGTACATTATACATGTTGACACACTGCATCTCCAGAACTTAATTTAAAACACGTACACTGTTTGTCTAAACCTGCTGTGTATTATAGCTTAGTGTCTGTTATCTGTCTGTCTTAGTGGAGTTAGCTGTTGCAATTTTGTAATTGTACAGTAATTGCAACAGTATTGTGACTCAAAAGCATTTAAATTGAAAGATAATTATATAACAATCAAACTCTCATTTAAAAACATTTGTTATTATATAAAGCCATTTAGAGCAAAATTTGTTTTTCTGCACATTATTGCTGCTGTTTCTGTCTTCTATAAGCAGTTGTATACAAAACAAAAACCCTCAGAATTTGAGGTGAAGGGTCATCCAATTAGTGTTTCCTCTACTTTCAAAGCAAAAGCTGAGACAGTGGTGTTCTTTTTATCTGAAAGATATGTCTGTATTATCTGAAAAATCAAAAAGATGACAATAAATGACTAAAATCAATATTCGGTTTGTTGACAAATGACCAGTGCAAGTAATGTTGACAGTCAAATTAATTAATAACTAGTCATATTTTCTCAACCAGATGTAGTGTTTTGTTATGTTTTGTATTCAGTTTTTACACATAATTTATGAAAGAATGAAAACATTCAACATCACTTCTGAGTAAAATGCTGCCTTCAGATATGCATACGTATAAGTTCCTTATCAAGTTTGTTTCAGGAAACAAACTTTACACAAACATCGGCTGGTATTACAGGGTGCAGGTAATATTTTTCACCACTAGAGGGAGACACATGACCTGGCACTGTTCACTCTTAAGGTCCTTTAATCGAGTTAGTTGACATATTTTATTTTGTTTACCTCATATTTGGTTAAATATTACAGGGTTACAATTTCCATAGAAATGGTAAAATATTAAATGTAAAGCTGATATGTGAACAAAAGTTAAAACACCAAAGCCACATGATTACTGAGACTCTGGACACTTTTCTTTTTAAATTCCATGTTGGCCCTCAAAAATCTTGATCATCCATCAAAGATAAAATATATGGTTCTAAGAGAGTCCCACAAATATTTTGTTTTGGAAATTGGTAGATTATCAGTACCACGCCTAAATTTAAACAGATTAGTTCTGTGCACAAACTGGATTTTTATTTCTTCATGCATACTGTGTGTTTATGGATCTGAGGGTGAACATATGATGTAAATAGCATACAAGAATAATACACAGCTATGTTTTTGTGTATGTTTCTGTGTATGTATCTATGTATCATTCATGTGTCTGTGCATTGTTATACAGGTAGTACCCGTCAAAGCTACTCATTCAAATACAGTTTCAATTATTTCCACATTTTATTTATATTTGTAACCTGTCTTTTGGTCTGTGTTACATGGACAACAACAGTTCTCTTTTACTGTTAGGCTAAGATCAATTTACAGCTTGATCAGCTTCTTTTATAATTAAAATAACTTAAGGAAGGGTCCATCCCAGAACCACAAGGGGGAAGGGGGACTGGGTAGTGACAGATGCCCAGATCAGGACCTTAATCTCCCATGCCAAAAGTCCTGGCACTTGGCCCCGGAACCTGGATGTCTTGTTAACACTTGGTTGACTGCAGACAAAAGAAGCAAAATCAACAAATCAATGGACTTTCAGCTCCACCAGGGGAGGGAAGGGAGGTGAAGGAGGAAGGGGGTAAGTGAGTGCTAGGCTGAGCCAGGTCTATGAGTGGGTATGAAGAGGGTGCATAGAGATTAGGGTTGTACTGAGGGGGGAGGTGGGGGTGTGCTGAGTGGAAAGGGGCCGAATCAAACAGTTATAGGGGCAGACTAGGAGGTATATGTGCATGGATAGATAGTGGGGGTCAAATCTGCCTTGGCCTTGGCCGGGCGCCCTTATGTGGATTAAACGGGGCCCCAAAGAGCCTCAAGAGCAGGACCACTGTGGCTAGAGGATTAAATAGATTCTAAAAGGTGTTTTCTTTTGTGTTGCTGAAGGGGGATCTGCCTATCACTCTCTGAACAACCAAATCATGAAGTGATGACTAGTGATGCCAAAAGGCCAGCACATATACGTGTGTGTGTTAGTTAGTGTCTGTTTTTACACTTGTATGTGCTATTAGATGCCACAGACTGCTTAAAGATGAGTGTGTAATAGTGTATTTTCATTGATCAGGGTCATATCTGAAAAAGAAAGAATTGGATTACAAAAAGAAAAACAAAGAACTAAACTGGTAGTAAATTGTGAGATGACTCAAACGGACAACTACACTTTGAGAAGATGACATCCTGATGCATAAGGATGTTGTTTATCAGATGGGGAGATAAACAAGTCCTCAAGCCTAAATGACCACAAAGGATATGAGAGGACAGATTATTTAAAAGGGGCAGTTAACCAAAATCATATTTATTCCCAGTGGTATTAATCTGTGCAGGTCGTTTTGGCTTTATTGTTGATTTTAAATATTGTCAGGCCATTTTCATGAAAAGGTGACACTCAAATCATCATAATATGTTCATTACATCTGTCTCTGAGATTGCTGCCACATTGTTAACGCTATGGAGGTGACCGAAATATCATTTATGTTGTTGAGCTCTCAGATAAAAAGGGGGTGCTTCTTTTTGGAAAACAATATAACTTAATTATCTACCATAGTTAATTTGCATATGACCAGATATCAGAATCAGCTTTATTGGCCAGGTGTTTTGGACACATGAAGGAATTTGACTACAGTGGCTCTCAGTGTGCATGTACAATGTTCTTCTGTAAAGCCACGAGTAGACAAGTGAACAAGATAAGAGAAAGATTAGCAAATAAGTGAATGCACATTCAAAAAAATGTACTTTTAAATATAGAAATATATATACACACACATATAAGAGTAGTCTAAAATGGTGCAGTATTAAAACTGAAAGGCAAATGAAAGTATCAGGAATGATATCATGATTAAAGTTCTAATTTCAGAAAGAATTCATATGTTCATTTAAGGCCACTTAAGCCACTGTTGATGGGAGGTGTGTATATGTGTGTGTGTGTGATGACAGACAGGAGGGAGGAGTGGAGTGATGGAGAAAGTGGGAGGAGAGCTAGAATAGCTTTGCTGCTCTCCTGCTGGGTCTTTAATGAAGTGGAGCGCCTTCCTGGTTTGTTCCTCCCAGCTGTTGTCCCTACAAAGCCAAGATATTTGGCCTTGGTGCTTTGTCCTGCTTGGGCTACCATACCTCCAAATGACCAAGTGAACACATAAAAATAAAAGCAAAGCATCTGGTGTCTTGTTCTCTCCAACTGCTCAGGAATGCAAACGTCTCTCCATCTGTTGCCTCATTTATTAGGGTTTCGGATCAGTGACGATTGCTGTTGTTGGTTAATATTCAAAGAGACATGAAGATGCTGCGGTCTGAACCTGAGACAGAAATACTGGAACACTGGATATTGCACAAATGCATGCTTTCCCTCCCCTGCTTTCCATGATTTACTCAATATTATTTCATTCACTATCTAGACATTTTTAAAAAATCTCTTTCAGTACCGTATAACATTTCACTCATATCACCAATAAAAAACAAAAATAGTATATATTGTTCATGATTTTTTTGCCCAGATGTACAAAAATGTTCCCTAAAATCCACTGTGTTATACAGTAGTAGTAGTAGTAGCTCAGTGTGTCCCCTGTAATCATTTAAACAAGTCAGTTTATGCATTGCTCTTTTGCCCAAATTAAAGTGAGGGAAGAACAAACAAAAATCAAGCAGGGGGGACAACCTCTAACACCTTCCCATTATTTGGATCACTTGTGTAGGTGAGTGGATTTTAACTTCCTTTGTGTGGCTTGCATACTTGTTGATACCACCCTCACCAGGTTCTGTCTGTGACACTCACTGGTTGAGGTGTTAGATGGTCTTTGTCTGTATGTGAGGTCCTAATGACACTAACACTTGTCTCCATTAAGTTGCCCATTGTCACTTTCTTTTAATGCCTTACTGTCATTCATTTACTCATCTGTTCTTTTCACTTAATGCTTAGATTTGATTAATTTGTTTTTCATTCTCTTTCTTAAGTGGATAAAATAACAATTCACCATAGTGTAATCTGCCCTTTTGCTGTGCACATGTAGTATTTTAGAATTAATAAATTACTGTCACAGTAGTCTAAAGACACTAGTTTAATTTAACCAATCATGACACAGGGATAAATCACATTTGTAACATTTGCAAGGACTGGACAAGTAAAAAGTGATTTACTCCACTAGACAAATCACAGGACTGGCATGTGTTGCTGTATTCAGAACAAAAAGATGGGGTCAGCTCCACAGCGTTGCATTTGTTGCATTCTATCATCTTTTATCAGGTATCCTGACAAGCTACTGCGATAAACTGGTGAGTTAAAACCTTTTAATCTCTCATGCTTCCTATTAAAAGTCAGCTCCCCTGAGTCGTGAAGGTTTTGTCACTTGATGGCGCAAAAGCCAAAAAAACCCCCCGTTCCACAGCCATGGGAAGTGACATATGAAACAGAGGACATCACGCCACACGTGGTGGTCTCCTAGTTGACAGGTCCCTGCCATGTCCTGTTATGAGGTGACACGTATGACACAATACAACAAACAGTCATAATCTGACTTCTTTGACTGCAGCAATCGCTCAACAAATCTGTTAGGAAACAGCCTTGTCACACACACAAGCCACCATTTGCTAACCATTTGTACGATCTCTGAGCTCTATATTAAATCAAATCCATCAATATTAAGTATTTGTAATAAATCAGTGGATGCCGAAAACAAAATTAAACACGAGTAATTAAGGTTGAGAGGCCAATCTCAGATAATCCTTCAACTAGCAATGACAAGAATGGAAGATTAAGTGTGAAGGGTTTATTAGGGATTTTTCTTTTTGGCTTTGGTTTGAGTCCTATTTTGAGAATCTGCCCATTCTTAAAGGATTAATT